AGTCAAAGCTGCAATGAAAGAACTGGCGAAGAACAAGGCTCCGGGAATTGATGGCATACCGATTGAGATATTTCAACAAAGAGATGCCCATTGGAGGCGCTCACTCAGTTATGCCAAGAGATTTGGAGGACAGCTACCTGGCCAACTGACTGGAAGAGACACTGTTTTTAGGGAGATGAAATATCAGCTATTATTGCCTTACCTACAAATGGTTTATCATAGTAGCTAGAAAGAGACTGAGGGAATACAACAAAGTACAGGCATATTTTCTGTGAGGAGAAATAATGAGTTGTAAGCTAGTCCTGGATGGGATATCAGAATAGGGAAGAAGGTAATGATACTAGGGCTTTTGCTTTCTGATGGATTGTTGGTGATGGGGCTAGCCAAGCAAGCAAGCAAATAATAATAAAAAAAAAAAAATTTAATTAGGAAAACCCATTTTCTTACTTCATAAGTCAAGTTGTCTCCTGGGATGGTCATTTATTTTATAGCATCCTGTCCAGTATTTTTTATAAATGAAAGAGAAGATCAGATTAATAGGAAATATTAAGATGACCATTTTTAGAAGATCCCATTTCCCTCAGTATTATGTTGCAATTGGAAAATTAAAGTGCCCAGGGCATTTGACATGATTTGAATTTACTTATTTTATTCTTTCCAACAAAAATATGTGTCTTTGTTAAATGATAAGAAATATATTTGAAAGCTTTTAAAAACATATTTAATTTATATTTATTGAAGTGTTATAGCTAGTATATCCATATTTGTCAGAGAATTATGGATGAGAACTTATCAAATTATGTTGAAAATTGTCACAGACTACAAATTCCTGTCTTGCTCTGTGATCTTGTTTTGCTAAAGGCAAATCAGTTCCTGAACATAGATAGGAGGGATCCTGACCTGTAATACAAATTGGTATCTTTAGGAAAGATTCTTACCTTGAGTTTCAAAGTTATTTGGTGACTCAATCTAGATTAAAATAATAATAATAATGAAATACCATTACCATCAAGTTGATTCCAACTAATAGTGACCATATAGGATAAAGTAGAAGTATCCCCATAGAGTTTCCATGTCTATAATCTTTGCGAAAGAAGACTGCCCCATCTTTCTTCCTTGGAGCAGCTGGTGATTTTAAACTGCTAAACTTTTTGGTTAGCAGCTGAACTCCTAACCACTGTGCCACCAGGGATCCTTAAATCTAGATATGATAGCTCTAGAATATGATAGCAATATATCACATAATTATCAGCATACACTGTATTATGATTGTATTCCTAAATGGCTATGTGAGTAGAATGTGGGCAGAGGACAGACTTATAGGGAATAATTATCTTTTAGAAGATGAAATGGTTACTATTTTTCTTATAGTGAAATTTTCCTGCATGCCTTGATATTTCAAAGGAAAGTAGAAGGTGTGCTGTGTATGTTTAGGTTTGTGCATATGAACAGGTAACATTTTATTGATGCTAAGACTTTCTTTTGCTTTTCAACATTTCTGATGTTCAACTTTCCTGTAACATCAATGTGCCCATTAAATTTGATAGCATTCCTTTTCATCATAAAAAGGCATTACTAAATAATGTTGCACACTATAGAAGATGGCATCATAAACTCAAGGAAAGGAAATGTTTTGTGTATAATATCAACTGCTCCTTGATATTCTATATATAGGAGCTCTGGTAGCATAGTGGCTAAGACACTTG